CCTTTCTCACTTGCTGCTATCTCTATATTACAAATCATCCCTCACACTCCTTTCCACCCACTCCACCCTGCCCACATCCTGTTCTTAATCTCTCTTGTGCACTGTCCGCTGCTTTGGATGGAGGCAGTCACTATTGATCACAGCAGATAGAAAGTTTAAATAGGACAGTTTAGTATTTGAGATGCTCATTTGTTCCATGTATTTGTTTCCTTTCCGTTTGCCTTCAGGACCTGGACAACCTTCAGATCCAGCTAGAAGAGGTGCGCTTCTTCGACTTGTTTGGATACAGTGAGGAGGAAGGAGGCTGGCTCTGCTTCATGTGTAACAACCCTGAGAAAGCTACAGGTACACACACGCACACATATATGCACGCTAAGACGGGCACTGAGAATAGAAGGAATGAAGAAATGAGCTCTTATTATCTGAAAATTGAAGCCCTCCACCTTTATAAACACTTCACTGTACATTTCCGCTCTTGCATATCGTCAAACATCGAAATTACACACTTTGCCTCACACACTTTGTCCTCCTGCGGTTTCCCCTGAATGGCTCCCATCCTTTTCTGTCTTCAGAGGAATGAACAACAACTAAAGTGGGATTTTAAAAGATTGCTTTCTCATTTCATGTCATCTCACCAGCTCTCTTGGGCACAGTTTTCCCTCTCTGGGGAGCTCCATGGGAGGTTTTCCCTCAGAATGCCTTCGAGGCACATGACCTTTCCCCGGAAAAGTGAAGGAAAGTGGAGCAGGGAGCAGCTCTTACAAAACAGCTGCCACCCTGATTTAAACATTTTTAAAGTCACTATAAGCAGTCAGTCACTTCCACCATGACTCAGATGTGATTGCTTTACTTTGGACTGGTGACCTTTCAGTGAGTGCTTTGTGCTGATGAAGTAAGACTTGGAATAAAGATCAAATCTTAAATCACCTTTGGTTTGAAAATTGCAGAGCTTAAAAATGTATAAACCATTCATAGTTTGCTACATTTCTGCATAAATACTACCAGATAGTCCCAAAATCAAATAAAGAGAAGCCAGTTTAAAGCTAAACTCATTCTACGATCAGGATTTAATGAAAGAGATTCGGGACCATTGCTAACCTCTCCTGGAGTGCTCAAGCAGAGATCCCTCCAGGAGCGAGGCATGTAATCTAGTCACGTAATAGTAGTCGTGTAATAAAGTTTAACTGTAAGATGCTCCATGTGTGCGCAAGTGAGTGAGAGTAACATCGGTGGTATGTAGCCTCATCCGTCTGTGAGAGCGTGGCGATAGATGTAGCTGCAGCGCACAGAATGTGCTTAAGTGAACTGTATTCACTTCATCTTAATGGAATGAAGTCCACGTTGGCCCAGATATGAAAGCAAGTGACGAGCTATGAACCAGGCTAAACGGGCAGGAGCCATGAATCAGAAAGAGCATGAAATGTGTCTAAAGCTAAACATTTCTTCGCATTTTTGTAGATGTTTAAATATCATTTATTAAAAATACTGAGGAACTTTTACAGTAAAAGTCCTAGTGAGAGATCACTAGGACTTTTACTGTTGTATTGTAGCGTTAAATAAATAATTAGAGAATCAGCAGAAAGCCATATTCAAGTTTTGTGAGGTTTGCTTTTGCTTTATCTAATGAGAAAATTCTTATAAAAGGCAGGTAGAACTAAAGATGCTGCCTCTGTCTGTGTGTGTGGCAAAATCTCAAATAGATGGACTACAGGTCTAGATTGGCTAACCCTAATGTTCAGGCCAGCTGTGGATACTTGGAATAACCCACAGATCACAGTCCACTTGGATTTGGCTCTTTATAATAATCAGAAATCAGATGAGATTAATGAGAAGTCTGTTTAAACAAATGATCTTCATACATTTAAGTGGCATTGACATTTATATGGCTCATTTCAAGACTCCTTGATATAAACAATACAGAAGCCAATTGAACTCCATTCTTTGAGCTCCGCTGCTAACCGGTGCATTCACTGACCTGGCTGAACGACTGCAAGGAATGGATGGTTACCTTTTTAGACTCGTGCCAGTTTCTCTTCATTACAGGAGGATTTAGAAGGGGAACGGTGATACCCTGTGTCCCCGTGGGGCTCTGTGTGTGTCTGTGTGTGCCTACAGTACTGTGCAAAAGTCCAGAGCCACTCCCAACATCTTTGTATTTTGCCAGAGTTTGTTCTCATTTTTCAAGTGCTCTTGAGCAGCTGTTCTCCATGTGTTTTGAACTTTTTCTTAGGACATTGGCTGCTTTTTCACTTTTATTCCGTCCAGTCGTTGTAGCATTTGCAGAGAAAGGTTTTTTTTTAACCACTTAACACTGCCCTATGAATCATCATAAAAAAACTCATAGGATTAAGCAGTGTTGTCTACACATAACAGATAACTTAGCAACAACCCATTTTCAAATTGTATCTTTAGGCACTTTATTACTAGCGGCCTGTCACAAGAACATATAACACATGTCCTCATTTATTAAGTTGAATCTACAAAAAATGCCAACGATAACAAATGACCAAGCGCAAACACTTTGCTGCTGTACTGAAGAAGATTAGTTTTACTTCCTACATTTTTAAACAAATATCTGGACTTTCTAAGTAAAGACAGTCTGTACTTTGCCACCTCTGCACAATCTAGCAGACATAAAATAGTGTTTTATGTCTGTCATGATAGTATTTTCAGGGTGTTCAGGGTGTCCTTACAAAAACTAAGGAAACCAGAGAAGTGGAAGTCAGAACAAGAGGTAGAAGGCCTAAAAAATTATCTATAGCAGATAGTAGCAGAAGTATCTTGAGTGTCCATAAGATATTAAGATACTGTTAAATGTCTTTATGTCCTTAAGAAATAGGAAAAAAAAAATCCAACAAAGACCACCAGAATTGGTCTCAGTGGCAGGGTGGCTGTGAGGGAAAAGGGAGAAAGGTCTGAAGTACAGCATATTAGACAAGAACTGGACTGAAAATCAGTAGCAGCAAGTCTGATGAATCCAGATTTAAAATTCTTAGTTCAAATCCTCATCGATATCATATCGAAACTGATAGAATTATGAATGCAGAAAAGTACCATCAGATTTTGATCCACCATACGATACCAGCTGGAAAACATCTGATATCTAACAGCTTCATTTTCCAGCACAACAGTGATCCCAAATGCACTGCCAATGCAGTAAAAGCATATCTTTATATGATTGTAGGGTCTTTATGTTCCAATATAAAGGACCTTGAGGTGACTGTTGGCACTGAATTGGATTGAGTTGAAAACACACAATGGCACTTATCAGTCATGGATCGGCCTCCCAGAGCCTGGACCTCAGCATTACTGTAGCATGCACATTATTCTCATGTCGACAGAGAACATAAATGCAGCCAACATCCAGAGAAGAGCTTTGTATGTCCTTCAAGGAGCCTGGAGAAATATTCCCGAAGACCGCTTAAAGAAATATTCAGACTGTGTTGAAGAGTAAAGGTGGTCATACATACTTTCAGTCCTGTTTGAATTGTATGGACTCTGTTTTTTGTCTTTCAGTCTGTATTTTGATGAATGTTTGCACATGATTCAATAAATCGCTGCACCTGTTTCACATTTCCCTGACAAAATATAAAGAAGTGAGGAGTGTCTCAAGACTTTTGGGCTACACCATACTGTGTATATATACATGTTTCTTCTATGCATGGCTGTCTTGATCTGACTTGGACAGATGTTATAGTTTCTGTTTTCTAACAGTCCTTTTAGAAAGAGGATATTACGTTGAATACAAGTACATTTTTTAAATAAAATGACTGACACCAAGCCCTGCGGCAGATTGGTGACCTGTCCAGGGGGAACCCTGCCTCTCGCCCAGCTGGGATAGGCTCCAGCACCCCTGAGATCCTGAAAAGGATAAGCGGAAGAGGATGGATGGATGGACGGGTGGATGATAGACACCACCTTTACAGATTTTTTGCACCTTGCATTTATTTCAGATAATTTAGCCTTTTGTCAAAGCAGTATCACATCTACCTGATGAGTACAAATCTGCCCAAATGACTCTTTTGTATTTAAACAGTTCAGTTAACCCAGCACATTATTATGGCACCTGGCTCTGATTAAAACACACAACAGATAAAAATCAGAAACTGTACAATACATCTTTACCAAGGTCAGGCTCAGACAGTCAGGTATCTGAACACCTGAAATCAGTAAGCCTGATACAAGATATCTTACTGTTACAACAAACATGGATACACAAGTAAACCTTAACTAATGACAGTTTTTTGAGGAAGCCATCAAACAGACCCCCAGTCATCTTAAAAATCCTATAATTGAAACTGAAACCAAACTCTGTGACAACATGTAAAATGCCAAAACTGAGAAATCTGGGGTTTTAAATATGATACAATACAATACAACATTATTTGTATAACACATTTAAAAAACCAGCGGTACACCAAAGTGCTTTACAATAACAACAAAATTAAGACATGATTAAATAAAAGACTATTAACAAAGTACCACATACGTCATCAGGTTGAGGGCACTAATTATACAGGAATAAAAGGGAATATAAGAACAAAGTTACTAAGAACGGATATAGCTTAAAGATCAAGTAAATAGATAAAAAAAAATTGAGCCACATATAAAATAGGGACACTAACTAGATGGAAAAGCTATGTTAAATAACTGAGTTTTTAAACGGGATTGTAAAGATAGTGTGTTGCGCGGATAACGAAGGGAAGGTTGTTCCACAGGTTAGGTGCAACCAGGGCAAAAGCACGGTCAGCCCTAGATTTAAGTCTAGATCTAGGCTGAGCCAGGAGTAATTGGGCTGAAAACCTGAGGGCTCGCCCGGGGACATATAGACTAAGGAGATCGACAAGATAACGAGGGGCTAAATTATTCATAATTTTAAAGGTGAGCAACAATATTTTAAATTCGATATGATATTTTATGGGTAACCAATGCAAATCAGGAAGAATGGGGGTGCTAGAGGCATGCTTTCAAGTGCCAGACAGGAGGCGAGCCGCAGCATTTTGGACAAGCTGGAGTCTATGAAGGAGAGCGGAGTGAAGACCAAAGTAGAGATAATTACAGTAATCCAATCTAGAAGTCACAAAAGCATGAATGAGCTTTTCAAGATCTTTATGAGGGACATAGTGCTTAGTCTTAGCAATAAGGCGGAGTTGGTAAAATCTAGATTTGATTACTGAGGACACTTGTTTGTTAAATTTAAAACAACCGAGTCAGAGAGAGAAGTGGCCAAGGAACCAAGGGTATCAGCTAATAGGCCCCGGGGGATATGGTTGCCAAACACCACAATTTCCGTTTTCTTTTCATTCAGGATAAGGGAGTTGCCCAAAAGCCATTCTCTGACTTCT